AATTGTATTCGGTATGATAATTTATTTTTCCTTTTTTGCAATTGGAACAAATTCCAGATCCAATGACAAAAAAAATTATCACTTCAATAAACAATTTCCATGAAAAACAGAGCTAAACGGGTACCAAATTTTCAATATTTTCCAGTGAAAAATTATACCAATCAAACACAATTAATTACAATTCCCAGTAAAACAATTTCTAAACAATTCAATTCCCAGATTTTCATTTTCTTTCCACTCATTTTCCACTTTTGCAATCAAACGGACCCTAAGGTCTTTTGTAGGTATAGTAAATCTAGAAAAGGCAAACTGTAACACAAACGACCAATCTGAACTTCGAGGAAAAAGGAATACTGCAATAAAATGCAGTTTGCATGAAGCCATCCTCACTCATTGCCAGGAAGACAAAAAAATATAAGCATCATAAAGAAGTTTTGGTTAAAATAAGCATAAAGGAAGCTAAACATTTTGAGTACGACTGAACAGTCTCCTTGGACTTGAGAGGCTTTATAACATCAAACCACTTGATTGTATTGAATTTCAAGAATTCAAATCATGTTGGAAAGAAAATATCTCAAATCCTCAAGCATGAGTTATTTTGTTCATCCCAAAAGCAGAGGCCAAGGCTTGGTAACAAAGCAGAATCAAGCCCCCATAAAAGGACCACTTATCTTCTTCCTTTCCAATCACCACCTCTACCCACCCTCTCATAGTATCATGTGACCAGCAAGGTGCCCGAAATGAATTCAATGGGTTGCTAGAGAAAAAAAGCAATAATGTCAATGATTTGGCAGGTGCCATAATAGTAGCTACTTAATTAGCTTATGTGGGTTAGTTAAGTGTAGCTACTTAATTAGCTTATTTCAAAACTCTGATCTCCTAAAACAGTTTATCGTCTTTTTATAGATGCTGCAAGGATTGTTTTCTGCGCACGTGTCTTTACTCTCAACCTAAGTTGCTCGGACTTGGGTACGGATATCGGGTACAGGTACGTATTTAAGTGTCGGATTTTTTATTTTTTAAAATGGAGGATACGGGGACAAGGCTAAAAAGAGTCCAAATTTCGGACACGGATACTTGGGTACGTCTTTGAAACTTCGACTAATTTTTTTTTCCCAAAAATTCATATGTAAATTAATCAAAAATATTATTTGATTATTTGTATTTTGTCAAGTTTTGTAAAAAATATTAATTTCAAAAAATGCTATTGAATTGTTCTAAAAAAATTATGTATGTTGATTTTATAATTATCTATCGATCATTTTGGTCAAAGAAAAATCATATTTTAAATTGTTTTAAATTTTTGTAACATTAATCATGATATTTTTTTTAAACAAAAATGATCTTGTCAATATCAAAAGAACCAAAAGCATAATTAATAAATAATAAACATCGTGTAATTTGCTCAACAATATGACTGCAAAATTCGAAGAAAAAAAAATCAACCCAACCAATAAAGCTGTAAGATTGTAAATATATTTAACCACAATTGATAAATTTATTTTAAATAAAAAAAGGCAATGTTTATAAAAAAAAAAACAATGTTTTGAAGCCCAAGCCCAACACTTTAAAAAAAAGAGGCCCAAGTTCAAACCCCCTCCTTCTTCTTCCTCCCTTCACTTCCAGCTCTGCAAATGGAGATTCAGCAGCCCCCTTTCTTCTTCTTCTTCGATTCTGGCAGCATTCCCCCTTCCTCTTCTTCTTTTTCCTCCTCTTCCTCTTCCTCTTCCTCTTCCTCCTCCCCTTCCTCTTGTCGCCCTTGGCCGTGTCCGGTTGACATTTGCAGCTTCCGATCCGTATTTCGTACCCGTGTCGTGTCGTGTCGACAAGGGTATGCCGACCAAAATGAAGAGTCCGAGCATCACAGCTCTCAACTAACCCTTAGAAAGATCTAATGAAGAAGACCCCTTTAACTATCACATGATAAAGCATACGACATGACTATTCATTAAAGTATCGTGAGGCCTACATTACCAAATGCTATTTCATACAGGTTCTGATATCATCTGGATACACTCATTTGCTTGTGGAGTCTCTATAGTTGATTTTATTTAAAAAATAAACTTCAAGCAGACAACATGATTTCAGATGGTGTTGGTGAGTAAGAAGCCATCGCCACAATATGTGAAATGATAAATACTAACCCAAAGTCAGAAAACCGTGAGCTACTATTTTCTAGGTTATATACAGAAACTGTGACGGAAAGAGGAAAAATTTCCCTCACACAATATGACATCAAATCATCATCATGAATTTGGCACATTTCCAGCTCAGGCTACAAATCTTAATTTCACTCAAGTATCACGCTCTTTCTATCTTTCAAGCCATAAATTTTCTTTCAGGTCCTTACAGGTAGTAACAAAATTAGCCTCTTACTGAGGTCCATTGCACAAACTGGCCAAGCCTTTTGATTCAATAAGTTGTAGAGTGGCATAAGGTTCAAAATTTAATGAACAGTACTTTCGAAACATTGGTTGTGATGTGAAACACAATTCTAGCACAATATGCTAATTAATTCAAGATTAGCACATAATCTTAGTATTTCTAAAGAAAATCAAAAAATTCAAAGACTTGAAATCAACTAAAACAAGATTCCTGATGTTGTAACTCGAGCAAATGAAAACTGAACAGGTAGGAAAGCAAAGTATATAAGACACGAAACAGTCACACAAGAAGGAGAATTGAAAATATAAAGAAACACAAAAAAAAACTAAAATCCCAGTAGAAATCAGATGAATACCTCTGAAATAGATGTAAATATAACGCAGTGGCGAACAGTTTGAAGTTTGCTCAGGCAGCGTAAAATATATCGATGTGCATCACTCAGGAGGCATGATGTAATGACCACAATCCTCCTTGCAGGATCAAAAGTTGTGTTCCAGTCAACAACCTAGCGAAAAGATGGCAATGAGAAACATGTCTAACAAGTAAGAAATATTAACCAAGCAGACAATAGATCCATCATAAGTAACTGCATCACCATCAATAACGTACAAGAACTTCTTTACATTGACCAACAATTCTCTCTCTTCCCCCCCCCCCACCCCACCCCACGCCACCCCAAACCACAATTTCACTCCCCTTTCCCTTTCTTCTCTCCAAAGATTACATTTCCCTGAGAAAAGTGTCCTAGTCCGGCTTTAACTCCCCAACCCCACTTCCCAGTCCCTGAACAATTGTAGCAACGCACAGAAGACCAGGTACAGACATAAATTTTGCAACATTATGGGAGAGGTGCTGACATATCAAACGGAGTATGACGGAATCCCTTCGAGATAGACACAAAACTATTTTCTCAAAATAATGGTAATATAAACAGAAAGTTCTCTAAAAAGAATACCCTACAATAACACAGGCTACTCAATGAAGCATGGTATTACTAATGAGGATTCCCTATAATTTAGAAAACTGTTGTGTAATCTATGAACCATGAAGATCCGAAGGAACTGTAAGGGGTCCTTGAAAACATATAGTTAAAGAGAATGTAAATTAATAGAACAACAAATAAAGATTCTCACCCCATCAAGAATGGACATATTCTCCAAGCTGCAAACAGCACGAGCACCGAGCTCAAGAAACAAAGGGAACGCCCCAATAAACTGAAAACTCTCTGTACTTCCAGCATCTAAGTAAATAATGGCATCTTTAATGTCATCTGATATCTAAAGAACCAAAAAAATTAGAGAAGAGTTGCAAACAAATCCATACAGTTTCCCTAAATCACTTCAAAAAATAAGAGAATTGTCCAGTGATAATTTCTTCCAAAAATTTTGCGAAAATTATGAGCAAGCAAAAAAACAAACCAATTTCATTTGAAAGGTAAATTACAAATAATGTAGTGAAAAGGAGATAAAATCTTACTTGTCTGATTGAATCGAGGCAACATTTGATCACATCAACCGTGGCCATGCTTTTCAATGGATTCAGTAATGACAAAAGATCTAGCTCATTACCGACATAAAGATATAAGTAATTGATTTATCAGTAAATTATATGCAGAATTTTAATGATCTCAGAAGATAAATTGAAATTACATAGACGGACATGAAACTAGGGTTTTATGAATTAATACTCAGCAACTCATGAAAGTTGCAGATAATCAAGAAGAAGAACCCAAAATCGAAATGTAATAGAAAATGGAAATAAATTCTTACTCAGATGAAGAAATCTGAAAACCCTTCCTTGTTGAAATTGAATCTTTAAACTTCTCTGTTGAGGTGAGGGGAAGGTGAAGACAGACTATTAGTCTTTTCTTTTAGCAGAGGAGAAAACCTTCCTATAATTGGTGATAATCCAATGCTCAAATTTCATACAAATCCTGGTAGCAACACTTCTAAAAAGATTATATGGATCTTCAAGTGTCACTGCAGTTAAAAAAATAAAAATAAAATAGAAAAATAAAATAAAAATTAGCATTGACAAAATATAGAAATAAACAGCTCGTAGAGAGAGGATTAATAGAAAAATCACCTAATTGTACATTGAGGGCGTAGCGCCGAGTCTCCACCATCCAATCATCAAATAAGAGCTGATTTTTCAGTCCTTGTTAATTACTCCATACATATTTCATATTTACAATTCATTCATTATCATATCAACTAAAAATTCGAAGCTTTGAGAATTAAACCCTAGAAACCAAAAAGAAATGAATTGACAGATAAAGATGAAGATCTACTGCAAAAAAATTGTATATTTCATCAACAGTAATTGAAAATCAAATAAATTAATATAAAAGAAAGAGTGAAAAGAGTGACATTCAGGAAGTAACGGAAAAAGGAGAGTGAATTCGTTAACAGGGCAGCTGAATTGGAAACAGTTAACAGATTCAGCCCCCAATTTGCTGTTCATATTTCTGGAAAAAAATTGTCTTGTGAATTTTTAGAGAACGTTCTGTTAAAAAGTATCGAAAAGTTTTGAATTTATGCATAGAATATTTTATGGGAAAAATTCAAAATCCAGACATTAAATATGCTTCCTTTCACTTTTAAGATAATATGTCAAGCATTGAGATTTTATTTGTGATCGGACTCCTTAAAACACATCTCTCTATCCCTAAAACACAAATTCGTCACAACATTATCATTTAGAGTCACCTTTATCTCCGATACTGATAAAATTTAGAGATTTCAGGTCACAAATTGAAGAATATCGTCACAAATTGATAATATCAACAGTTTAAATTACTCATTTTAAAGTCAAATCATTAACCCCTTCAGAACAAAAACTTCACCATTTGGCATTTTCAATAAAAGAATACTTGGAGAATTCAGATTTTTGGTCAATGAATTCAACTTTCTCCTATTATCATGAAATCATATTCCATGTTCTCATTTCTCCTTAATGCTAAATTCAACATAAAGTCTCTATAAATCTTGATCCAATCTGTTTATCTGGCTCCCCATCATGAAGTAACACACTATACTTTCACTCTCAACTTATCAATGTCGAATATATTGTTTAAGGTATATTAGAGTAATGATCTGAGTAACAGCAGTAAAGTTATGTGANATCTGAGTAACAGCAGTACAGTTATGTGAATAAGTATAGCAGATTACATGAAATGAAAAAAAAATTCAGCAATGAAGCCATTGGTAATACAAGACACATAAATAGAACTGTAACATGACTGAATGGTAGAATGTTAAGATTTTAACTTCTCTTTCTTTCTTTCTTAACACACTCTAATACTATTGAATCATTCCTGCCAAATATGTCATAAGGATATTGGAATTAATCAAGAACGTCTGCATTTATCTTAAGCTCATTGAAATGTAGAAATGAGATAGTTTTATCCATCTAAAACTGAAAACTGATCATAAAAATTTCAGCAAGATAAATCCTGAGAGAAGCTTAATAAAGTGTTTGGTAAGAATAGAACAAAGCAAAGAATAACAAGGATAACATAAGCATTACACCTGCCTCTTTAGTAAAGGTCCTTTAACATAGTTAATATTTCCAAAAACTAATCAATGAAACAAAACCAAGATACATGAAAATGTTGATTCATATTTTCAAAATTCTTCTTTTTATTTTATGCTCATTATTTCCGCACATTCAATTACAATTCAGTAGAAAATAAATGTACGGTTTCGATCCAATTCCATTTAGTTTAGATATACAACAGGGCAGGTACCAACATTTTTAAAATGATTAAAGGGATCTTCAAGTTTCATTACAGTAAAAAAAAAAAATTTAACATTGACGAGAAATAGAAATTAACAGCTTAAAAAGAGAGGATTAGAAGAAAAATTACCTAATTGAGCATTGAGTGCGTAGAGCCGAGTCTCCGCCATCCAATCATCAAATAGAAGCCGATTTTTCAGCCCTTGTTAATTAGTCAATATGTACAAATATGTGTATCTATAATTCATTATTCATCAGATCAAAATTAACCAAAAAACTCGAAGCTTTAAGACCTAGAAACCAAAAATAAGGGCGAATTAACAGGAAAAAAAAATGAAGATCTATTTGGAAACAAGTTGTATATGCAATCCAGAGTAAATGAAAATAAAATAAAACGCATATTAAAAGCGTGAAATTGAGGAAGTAGCAGAGACGGAGAGTGACTTGTTTAACGGGGCCGCGAATTAGAATACAGTTTACATGTTCAAATTGTTCTGTTGGTCTCTAAACTACGAAAGAGAGCAAGTTAGTTCTCAACGTTGTAAAATAAGTGAACATTAATCCTAATTAAGAATGTGTGTGTCATATTTCGTGTTGTAAAATGCTTCTTGTGCATAATTATTTACATAATGTTTTACATAATGATGAGGTGTCAAAATATAAGTGAAAACTTTCTTTGGAAAAGACATGTCTCTCCATGTATTTTAGACAGTTTTTCAACCTCGGGGCCTGGGGAAAGGGGATTCAAAAGGGTGATACTCCCTCTGTCCGTGGGGGTCACATTCCTCCTTCGTCCAATGTCTTCCCTCCTCCATCAAAGTATGGAAGAAGACGTGATTTTGGGTAAGGGAGAAGTTGCACGAATGTGAGGGTGACACTGTCCCTCACGTGAAAGCTTTGACCTCTTACTCCGAAGCCTGTGAGTGTCGTATTTGTTTTTTATTTTCTTTATATTGATAATCTTGATGCTAACAGTTGTGTTCGTAGTTTTACAGGATCGGTTGAGAGCTTCAAACTGAACGACAGCGACTGGGAGACTCAAACTGACATATACCGTCGACCTTCCTCCTCTCGCGACTTCGATTGTTTGATCATCTCCTCGAAATTTTTTGAAGAATTTTGTATAATGGCCAAAAGAGGTATTGTTCCCTTAATAAATTTCATCTCTTAACTTATATGACAGTTACTAGCCCTATTTGTCTTTGTAGAAAATTTTGAGAAGCGGAGGCACCCTATTCTGGACATAGCCACCATACCTGCTGTGACCTCCACCTCCGAGAAAAAAGGGGCTGAAACCTTCATTTGTTGTAGCCAAGCAGGTGAGGGACCAAGTAGAATGGGTCAGTAGGAGGCTGGCAGCCAAGAAGAAGGGTGACCTTTCCTACAGGACAAGGGGAAGAAAATTGTTGAGGAGGTCCATAAGAGGAAATACTAAATCTCCACCACTGGGGTGGGTGGCTCAACGGACATCCCTCATCGCGTCGAAGTCCCAATTGGGAAGAAGTTGTTGGCGGCTTCGATAGCTGCAGCCTCTGGGGGGCAGAAAAGGCCAGTTGCCATAGAGCTCCAGAGGCAAGACTCTGCAAAGAAGGCGAGGTCTACAAGCGACTTCATCGCTTTCGAGGCTCCTCAACAATTCAAGCTCGTTGTGAAGAAAAAGAGCGATGAACTAGCTCTGGAAGCTCTTGCCCTATTTCCTCTAGAGGTTCAAACTGCAACAGCTACCTTCCATAAGCACTGGACAGAGAGATTTCAATCTTTCGTGGAGACCAGTGATACTGTGGACCTGTTCTCCACAATGTTGAGTCAAGTGGGGAGGGCCTTTAGTGTGGCCATGGAGGCTAAAGCACTCTTTAAAAACCTTTAGTCCAAAAATAGAGAATTTGTCAATAAAGTCTGCCAGCAAAGCCAAAGCGGAGGCTGAAGGGCTAAAGATGAAACAAGTCGGGGAGTCTGTGAAGCTCGTTTCTGCCTTGGAAAAAATTGAAAATTTGAAAAAAGAGGTTCACTTGTCTCAAAGTGAAGTAGCCTCCATAACAAAGCAAGCGGAGAAATCCGATACCTAGCAAAAACTAGCAGCTGAGGCAATGGAAAAGACAAATAAGGAAAATGCTACTTTGAAGCAGCAAGTGGGGAAGTTGAACTCCAAAGTATTTGGCCCAACTAAGGAGGTGGAGACGGCAAAACAAGAAGCCCAATTTGCTGGGGATGACGCCGTAAAACACTACATCACCAACTTCCATTTGACAGAGATATACCAAAGTTTCGTAAAATACTAGCAGAGGTATGCCTACGCAGAGATGGTAGGCATATTTTTTATTTTGTGTTGCATATTTTTTATTTTATTTTGTGTATTTGGTGCATTCATGTCTTATTAATTGAAAAATAAAAAAGGGATTTTTTTAAAAACACAACATGATATATAATATACTTGAACTTGTGTATTGTGACCAAGTATGAGTTTAATTAATGTTATGTAGTATAGTTTACACCACTTAGTTTAGGTTTACATGGAGTATTTAGTATAGGTTTTTCATGTACTATCTACACTACATACACTATGATCTTGTGGGTGAGTCTTGACCAAGAGTGTGAGATTTGGGATGGTCGTCATCTGCTGGTAAGATGAGCTTGAACATGGATTGACTTTAATTTAGTAGACCTAAACTCTAGTATATTCTTTTAAAAGAAAAATAATGTTTCATCTCATATTACTCTTTAGAGCCTATTTGACTCAAATAATTAAGTTTAAGGGGTTTCTCATAACCTGATACCATATGCTCAATTAACTTGGAGTCATCGGCCCAAAACTTGTTCAATGGTCATCTTAGTCGTTTAATGGAGAAGAGTCTGCACATAAGATGTGAAAAATTGAAAAGAAAAATGATAAGTTTAAAAAAATAGAAATTGTGCAAAAATTTATATGTACTCAAAATCAGGAGGAGAAAAGAATAATATAAATGAAAAATGAGCTTCATTTATGGGTCCTAATATGTATTATTGGTTTAACCTTCATTATTAGGGGAATAAACTTATGTGATATTGATGTTTAATACATCATTTCTCACAAATTTAAGGTTTAAAGTCTTATAAGAAATTAGTGACACTTTACATACACGAGTCACCTACACGATTTACTCAATTGAGACTTGAATTGAGTATGTGGGAAAGTCTATTGATCATTGATTATGCTTGTACATGCGATCAACTTCATCTTTAAGTTATTATATATTGTTGACATAGATCCCTTTGTCATTTGTGACAAAATCATGCATTCTATATCATTTTGAATGCTTATCCTTTTTTGAGTTTTGATATTTTGTGATATTAATGTTTCAGTTAGTGTTTTGATTAACATTAGTATTACTTCTCAATCTAATTAGCATA